CCTCCCTCCCTCCCTCCCTCCCTCCCTTCCTTCCTTCCTCTCTCTCTCGTGAAATATGTTTTTCATAATTATACATAAATCCTAGAAAACACAGATCCTCGGGAACTATCAGCAGACAGAGGGTTAATAGGCTGACTACTGGGAAAAAAGAACCAAAAAGGATGTTTATTTATCTAATTATTTAAGGTATTTATACTCTGCCTTTCTCACTTGGACTCAAGGTGGATTATGTAGAGTGAGTCAAGACAATCAAGGGATGGGAACGTTCAATAAACAGTGCAATAGGTTTGGGGCCGTTGAACCAACCTGAAGCCTAAAAACAGAACCGAACCAAAGCATCAGTATTGACATGACACTTTAAATAACTTGTATTAATTGATGCTGTTCGGTCTTTATTCTATACTATTGTAAATTTTATGTTGTTTTTATGTAAGCCGCCCAGAGCCAGCCTTGGCCGGGAGGGCGGGGTAGAAATTTAACAAATCAAATCAAATCAAACGATGCAAAATTCCATAGTATGATCCTAATCTCAGCAAGCCGTATACAGTAGTATAGTTCACAGTCACTAATCATTATTCCAAGTAACTCTGTGAATCATTTCGTAAAGGAGAACACTACTGACTGCATACCAAAGCTCTCCAGAACAATTCAGTTTTCCATCGTTTGTGGAAAACTCATCCTATACTCTCCCTGAGTAGACACATTCATTGTCATCAAGTCCTGGGCCACTTGATGACTGGGAGAGTGCAGAGACCCCGTGGTTCATTGGCACCCACATCACTGCGCCCTCCCCAAGCAGTTGCTTAGGTGCTTTGTGTCAGCTATGCTGCCACGTGGTTGGGATGTTCTTTCAGTGTTTGTGTAAATTGCTTTTGCATTCCTTTCTCTCTGCTCTGCGCTGAAATGCTAATCTCCAAAGCCGTACAGGTGGTAATGTGTGTTGTCTGCCTTCAAGGCCGACCGTGGCAGCTGCACAATTCCCAGCTTCGCCTAGTAACGCTTGCCGGCTCTAGCCCGCGCGCGGGAGGGTGCCTCATTGGCCAGCGCAGTGGGGGGGGGGGTGCATACGAATGCCCTATATCTCATTGGGTTCAAGAGGCAACTGCTATTCTTAACAGTGACTATGTTAATGCATCTATGGCTCTTCAATAAAAGTATAACCTTTCTAAAGAAGTGTGTACTCCGTTGTTGGCTGTGGGGTCTCACACTTTGACTGGAGACTAAAAAAGGTAAAGGTTTCCCTTGCTCGAAAGCCAGTCGAGTCCGACTCTAGGGTTGCGGTGCTCATCTCCGTTTCCAAGCCAAAGAGGTAGTGCTGTCTGAAGACTTCTCCATGATCATGTGTCCGGCATGACTAAACGCCGAGGCGCACGGAACGCTGTTACCTTCCCACCGAAGTGGTACCTATTTATCTACTGGCAATTTCTTGCTTTCAAAATGCCAGGTTGGCAGGAGCTGGGGCAAGAGATGGGAGCTCACTCTGTCACGCGGCACTCGGGTCTCGAACTGCCGAGTGACAGACTTTCCGGTCTGCAGCTCAGCCTCTTAACCTCTAAGCCACTGTGGTACTGGAGCTACCTGACAAGTAGTGGACCTTCAGTATGGGGATCCTCTGCAGACTCCATCCTGCGATTTCAAGTTCAAGTTCAAAACCTTTATTGGCATAGATCATAATCATACAGTCGCCATTCAGTTCATGGATTTCCCACTGTCACTCCTTAAGTTAGTGGGAAATCTTGCCTTTTTGGCGGCGGGCAGAGCTTGCTCCCTCCAGCCAAGGGATCTTGGTTCCTTCTTCCACAGACCTGGGGCTTTTTTTGCATTCTTGTCTTCCTTGCTTTTAGATTTCCCTATCCCCCCTCCCTGGAATCTTTGCAGCCCCCCCCAGCTGCGGTGGCTCAAGTGGTTAAGACGCTGAACTGCAGGCTGCGAAGGTCGGTAGTTCAGCAGTTCGAGACCCGAATGTGCCGCATGACGGAGTGAGCTCCCGTCTCTAGTTCCAGCTCCTGCCCACCTAGCAGTTCGAAAGCAAGAAATTGCAAGTAGATAAATAGGTACCACTTCGGTGGGAAGGGAACAGCGTTCCGTGCCCCTTGGTGTTGTTGTTTTTTCCCCAAAACAATTTATTAGGATATAACAAAAAAAGAAATGTTCAAACATATATCAAAACTTATACAATTATATATCCTTCCCTCCTCCCTTCCCCCCCCCCTTCTCGGCTTTCCACAGTGCTTCAACCTCCTGCCCAATTCTTAAATTTTCTTCATACCTCCTTATCTCCTTATTCACATCCACAGGTAACTTAATCTTCAACTGTTAGTCTTATATATTTATCCACTTTCTACTATTTTGATTTTCAATAATTCTCAAAGCAAAGTAAATTGTCCTTTACATCCCACTATTTCTCCAAATAGTCTTTAAAATCTATCCAGTCTGCAAAAAATTCTTCTGCTTCCAAATTATTTCGTTTCCTTGTCATTTTGTCCATTTCAGCCATAAAAAGTAATTTTTTTAATCCATTCCCCTATTTCAGGGACCTTGTCTTGTTTCCAACATTGAGCATACGTCATTCTGGCAGTCATGATCATATACCACATCAATGTCCTTTTTTGCCATGTTGACTTCTTCCATTTTCAGTCCCCAAAGTAGTATTTCCGGTTCTTTCTTGAACTTACATTTCACAATTTTCCCATTTCTGCATGTATCTCAGCCCAAAACAGTTTTGCCTTTTCACATGTCCACCACATATGATAAAACGAGCCCTCTGCATTTTTACACTTCCAACATTTGTTTGACATATTACTATTCATATTTGCAGTCTTTTTTGGTGTCATATACCATCTATACATCATCTTATAGCAATTTTCTTTTAAATTATTACAAGTTGATATTTTCATTGCATTCTTCCATAAATATTCC